CTCGGGGAGCATCGACTGGAGACCGATCTTTCATTTTCTCAGGGCACTAAGCAGCTCCTCCAACAGGTGGTCGCGAGAGGTCTATGAGCTCTGCCGAACGACGGACTCTCTCCACAGTATGTACTTCCTGGGGTTTGTAGGAGACAACATGATGGAGGACCGAAACGAGGACGGAAACTTGCGAGTCAGAAGCCTGAGCCTCACGCGCCGCTCGGATTGAACGTCAGGGGAGAGCTGTTCGAAAAGTTGCGAGCTGCCGAGAAAAGTCTGGGCATCAATCAGCCCTAGGACAAACAAGAGGAGAAAATCCGAATTCTATACATGAAAGATATCCTAGGTCACCAGAGATATCTTCCAAACCTCACCGTTTCGGACAGGTTCTCCATTTCTCAGCCGCCTAAACGTTTCTGATCGACGAGGCCACTTCACTGCTTCGCGGGTATTCGTTCTCCCCGGACCGTTCGAGACCTACGAGGAGGGTTAGGTCCGAAGCGGACCGACTTACATCAGGGGTATCTCACACCACTGTGAGCACGACCAAGGTATTTGCATTTTTCCACCATATCGAGTCTAAACCTACCCTTAGCCTGATGCGGTCCTTCGACAAGCTCGAGTGGATACGGTCGATATAATACAACGGGTAGGTACTCCCAACGCCCAGTCAGGAAACGCGGAAAAATTATTCGAGAGGATGCGGAGGGATTTTGTTCCGATTTCTCAAAATCCTCAGAATTCATGCTCCTCATCAAGCTCCCCTCTCTCAGGAAAATACACCATTCCATCGCACTGACACGAATTCGTTTTGCCAACGAGCTGGGCAGGTTGTCATCTCGGCCATCAGACTTGCAGGAGCTATCGCTGACGTCACGAGGGCTCAGGGCGTTGTTAGAGCGGATAGCGGCAAGCGTCATATCTTCGTATTGAAGTGAGGTCAGACACGAGAGCATAGGGAAAACGATTTCATATAAAAGATATGATACAACAACGCCGTCTAGACCTCTACTCCTGACTGAGTGAGCCAGAATCGCTCGGTACGTGATCTGCGCACAAATCCGCCGATTATAAAAATCGTGGGTTTCGACGCACTTTCTGTTGCCGCCGCCGTCGCGTCGTCGCCAGCGCCGTTGTCCTCGTTATTGACTCCTGTACTCTCCTGGGCTATACCGGGGATTCGTTGCCCTGGCCGGTGTTCCGTAAGACCAGAGATGACGTCTCTTGTGATGTCATGAGGAATGAACCCCCCCCCCTCACCCTGCCCATGGCCAGAGCCGTATGCAGGAATTTGCCGCCTTAAGGCTGACTCTGACTGCCGCTCCAACCAGTGGCGTACCCGAGGGGGGGGGGGCCAAGGGGGCCATGGCCCCCCCAAAATTATTTCAGCGTAATGCAGGAGTACAGGGTACCTCATCATTTTGGATCTCTGGCCCCCCGAAAACCTAGTCTGGCCCCCCCCAAAAAAAAATCCTGGGAACGCCCCTGGCTCCAACCCGACCTATGTATATCAATTTTCGAAATTCAGTTCGCAAGGAAGCTTTCCATTTTATCTTGCATATTCATGTCTCCAAATATATTTTGTTCTCTGCGTGGAATGAACCACAAAACTATCTTTCTCGTCGCCGATTCGACACTTGCGTGTTCCAATCCGACCAGGAGAATATGTGCCAGCAACCGAGAAAAACGCCCGCGCCGGCAAAAATCTGCCTCTCATCGGGAATCTGCCGCCCCCGGCTCCAGCCTAAAAGCCTAGTGGGTAAATACGGCCATGCCCGCGGCGGAATAATGATCAATCGATAGCAATATCGTTCCGCTTTCCATCGTTTGTCAATTGAAATATTTGAAAGAGTGTTAGAAATTTTCAGCTGCGAAATTTTCGTGGGCCTCGCCCCTGATTTAGCTGTCCGTCGGTGTCACCCGTTCATGCATTCATGACGGCAATGATGAGCTTTTAACACAAAATGAAGTTCAGATGATCTGAACAGGAAGCGTTTTGGTGGAGTCGTTCCGCGATGAGGTCACAGCTCACTCGAACTTGAACAAAAGCTGACGTCAGGAAAACCGTTGCTGTTGTCGTCGTGATGCCGTTTTCGGCGTTTCACGAAGGTGGCTCATCATCGGATGGACGAGACCAGCAGACTTTCGGCGAGGCTCGTTGTTTTTCAGCGCGAATTCTGTTATCAAGCTCGTCAGCCTTTCTCCAGCGGGAGGCGGTGTTTTCAGCGCCGCCACCGCCGTCAACCTTGACCAGGTCTTTGAGGCGGAAGAGTCCTCTCTTTCAAGCAATCGCTTAGTCGCTCACTCGCTCGCTCGGTGGGTCAGTCGGTCGGTCCGTCCCTCAGCTTGGCGGGTGCAGTAATCTTCTTAAGAGCAGCCTCGGGTTCCAGACTGATCCAATCGGACGTTTCCGAAGAAGGCCACCGATTTTCCTCCTCCGTCTGTCGAGCAACAGTGGCAGCTTACAAATGCCGGATTCTCGCCTGGATTCGTCCTCTTCGTCGCGTTCTCCCTATTCTTCCCCCGCCCCGAGGTGTCTCCAGGCGTCCCGGGAAAGCTCACCGTCGAAAGGGCTTCGCTGCCTTGTTCCGCGACCCTCAAAACTGCGGATGCATGCATTCGAGTGACTGAGTGACTGACCGACCAAAAGATCGCTCAATCGGTCTATGAATAGATGGGACGCGGTCAGTGTGGTCAGTCTGAAGCCCTGCAGAATCAGGATCTACTCCGCCCCGTCGATTCTATCCCCGAGATTTCCACTCGCGACGTGGACGCGAAAGATACACACCGATTGTCACACCGAACCGGGCAACTTGCACGATTCGGCTTCGGACCTAAGACCTAAGTCTGACTCACCTGTTCATCGGACAGAATTCAATAGCGGAATCGAGGCGGTCGGTCCCATCCAAGATAGTACGTACCGAAATACGGTGGAAAAACTTTTGATACTGAAAGATCGAGCGAACTCCGCAGCTCGTCATCAATCTCAATCGACACTGCGTTGAGGTAATGTTGCTCTCGAGTCATCGAGTTCCTCGGAAGCTCCCCCCCGTTGTTTCGAGGAGCGAAATTCCTGCGTCCATCCTGATTTCCTGAGGACACGCTTCATTCACGCGTAGCTACCCGGCCCGTGTACTTTTTCCTCTTACCTCCTGGGGGAACAATGGAGGCTTAAAGAAATCCCCACCGAAAGTACGGTGTCGTCGAAGAGCACTTCCCAGGGATCAGAGAGAAGAATCGACGCTCGGAAGAGATAGCGCTCCGTTTTTGCGATCGTCCTCGGCGCAATTCAAATTTTCCGCAATCCTACTATTCTTCTCCTAATCGCACCGAAGCATCGAAAATAATCTCTCATCGGGGGATCGTCACGACCAGACGACCCGAGCGGAAACATGCAATGAGTCGAAAGAATACCGATAAGTTCAGAGGATGTGCCTAGTCTGAGAAATTCAGCAGCCTCCCGCGAGCCTCGCGCCTCTTTAGAAGGAGCCGACGGCGCGGCGTTCCGGTACTCGCTCAGGCCGAACAAGTACTTGTGACGAGCACCGGAAGCAGCCGAGTGGAACTCGAAGAGGAATGAGTATCGGAGCAAAAGTTGCCTTTTCAGAGGGCTAATACCTCTCTCTTTAGAAAGCCGGTCATACTTCGTCGTTCTTCGCTTCCACGCTCCCGAAATCCGAAGAGTAAGCAGCGCCGACAGCGGCTGCAGCAACGGTAGTAGTCATCTGTCAAATTCGAGCTTTTCAGAGGGGCTTATAGTGATGCAAAGTGCAAACAAGATCATCTTTTTGGAACGGAACAACCGGATGAAAAATGCCCGTTGTGGCAATGCTAAAATCGGCACGGAACCTTCATCCTATCGAAACTTATGCTTCTGTGAGGGTGATTCGGTTGGCTGAGCGCGCGAACGCTGAGCCGCGACGCGTCGCGCCGGCATCATCGTCGCCGCCGCCGTCACGTTGATCCGCCGTGCTGGACCGACGGCAGCGGCGGCGGCGGCATTCCTCAACCGTTGTACTGCGGTCAACGGCGCGATTTGTGTTGATCCGAATTCGCATCTCACATGCAGAGCCCGCATTCGGTCCGAGAATCGTGATCCCATTCATTATTTCGCGTGATTTTCCTCGAAGATGTAATTTTCAGTTACGGATGGGACGGGAAAACGTGCCGAGAATTTATCTTAAGTGTAACGAGCAGGATTTGCCGCGGTATCGATGCAACAGGCGAGCTCCGCGGTGAGCTTGGGTTTCGCAAGGAGCGAACGCGCTCAATCTCCAGTCCCGATCGAATTCTCTCTCTGTCCAAGCTGAGGATCAACGAGATCGTTTACTGATTCGTGAGTGGGGTCAACGAGGTACGAAATCGGTTTATGAGAGAAAATAAATTCTGATCGGCGACGTTCAACTGTCGAATGCTGACAGAGCAGCTGGAGTCGATGCTCGAACTGGAATCGAGCGGTTGACAAATATTAGGGGAAGAGGAGCATACATTCGACGGTATACCTTCAAATCGGAGTTTCGGGGTCGGGAGATGATGTTATTTCACCGACGAGGTTCGGCAACGACCGCTACACCCTCCGTTCAATTGGTCGGATGAAATGAATCGATTTGATTGAAGAATTGTGCCAAGTCGCAAAGTTTGGCCGTCAACAAAAAACCGAAACGAACGGCCGGAAACGGGAAACGGTGCTCTGGCCGACTCGCCGCCCGCCGACCGATGAGTGAGGGCACCTTTACTGAGCGACATGCGACATGGCTAGCATAGCTCATGGACCATGCAAACATTCATTCACCTAGTTAGTGTCTGTCGGACTCACTCAGTCAGTCAGTGACTGACCGACCGACCAAAGGCCCGACGACTGGGCAACCGACCGACTGGCCACTCGGTGAACTACACAAGCTCGTGGCACACGGACCATCCGACCAAGCACAGAAATCGTCATCTGTACCCATCGTGACTGGACTTCAGTGTGAAGCCTATCGAAATCAGCTTATGAGTCTGTGGTGGTGGTCATGTTGAAGAGCGACATGGTTCCGCTCGTATCGTTCTTAGCCGCGTTGCGCATCCTCACTGAAGGTAAGTCGTATAGCTCTCGTGCAAAGTCCTTCAGGGTCGCGAAAGACGCCGTCGAAGCTCAGCGGATCGAGGGAAAAACGAGCTCCGCTCGTCGTTCTTTTCCCTTTTTCCCATCGCACGGGATTGACGACATGTGCACGAATTTCTGGGAGGGGGAAGACAACCCGGAGCTCGAAAATCGTCTCGAGGCTTCGCCTGTGCGATCCCGAAGGTTCGAGGACGCCGATACCGACGAGCAGCATATTCGTTCAATTCGTGGCGGTGAGCTCCCGTTGAGGAACATGCGATGGGCGTGCAAGCGTACAAATTAGTTGTGCCTTCGGAGACTGGCGCCGGCCGTGCAAATGCAGGCACTCAGTCGCTTGCTCGGACGAGCAGACAAACAGGGAAACACACAGACCCTTAGTCCGACCGTCCATCTGTCCCTCGGAGACGTCAGCAATCATTCCGTCGCCCTTGGAGAATCATTCGTTACTCGGATCGCAATCATCATCGGTCGTTGCCGTCACCTCGTGCCAGATCTGACGTCACCGAAGTCGTCGGTGCGGCCGACAAGCTCAGAATGTGAACGTGCGATGCATGGCTCAGCTCGTTCTTCGGAGCAACGCGCGCGGGGCCTTCCTCGCGGATTCGCCACCCGCCCCCATCCCCCTCTCCCCCCACGGCCCAAGTCGATCATTCGGAAAGATCGTCTCCTTTCGAGCGCGGGGCTTCACGGGAGGAAAAAAACGGATTGCGGCGTCAATGCGCCGCCAGGGGATCCTCGATATCGATACGGAGCTGGCTGCGGCGTCGGGAGCCAGTAATTCGCGAGGCGTTGCCGGATCCTATTGTTTTGGCTCGGAGACGTGTCCTGTAGACGATATCAAAGTCGAGCGGACTGTCGGTGGAGCTGAGGAACGCGCTGACGAGCAATTCTCGCGGGAGGAAAAGAAGAGCGAACTCGGTCGTTATTTTTCGCTGAGAATTGTTCCGGCATCACTTTGCCATCTCAAAGCGACGTCCGCAGCTGTTGAGAGCCGCCATCCTGGAAGAAGAGCGCCGGCACCCGACAGCCCTCCGGATCTTTTGGAAGCGCGTCTCGGACATCAGAGCAAAGATTTCAAATGGGCTTTCTCCCACACGCAAAACGTTCTTTCTTGGTTCTTCCATTCGACCCAGACGACCGACCGTGATTTTCTCCCGGCTAATTGTAAGGCTAGCGGCGAGCTTCCTCGAGAATCCCGATCCCCCTGGAATTCGAGGAATTCCATAATGGAGATTTATTTCAAACCATTTCATCCTGCGGCTTCGTTTCCTTCCATTAGGAGTCGATTCCTCTGAACTCTTGAAAAGAGAACTACCGACCTATCCAGAGCCAGAGGCAGCGGCCGAAGTCTGCAGCGACTTTCCCAGCGGGGGCCTTGCGAGGAAGTGATACTGCCAATTCTCTTCCAGTCGGATGGCGGTGGATGCTGCGACTTCAGCATCGAATGGTCTGGATGACAATAATTCGGGAAGCTTCTCAGAAATCGAAACCGTCCCAGCGAAATCCGTTCAGCCACGAGCCATGTCGATCCCGTGGGGAATTTCCCTCACGGGAAGAGGTGAACGCTCCAAATACGGAGAAGATGTCGTTTCAAGTTTTCGGAGCGACATGATTCGTTCTCGATTGCTCTCCGACTTCGTTGATGATCAACTTCCGAGCTCTAAATCAAGTTGGAATATCGATAGGATCCGGAGGAGGGCGAGAGATAATGAATGGAGGGTTGGGGATCCAGTGGAGGATCGACAGTGGCCGGATAGGCGGCTGGTAGGCAGACAGTTGGACTGATGGACAGAAATCCAACCAGCTCGACAACGCACATCCGCCGCACCTCGATCCTAACTACGGCATTGACTTTGAAGTGGACGACAAAAGCTCTTTTGTGCTATCCGCAAACGTCCTTCAGGTACGAAAGAAAGCCAATTAGAGTTGGCCAACTTTCGCTGTAGGCAGGAGGACAGGCAGAGCGAATGAGCGAGCGGCCGGTCGACCAGTCCGCTCGATCTAAACAGCGTCGAGCGAGCTGCCATCGCCGGCAACATCCCACCCGTCTTCATTCGGGCAGAGAAACTGGCGTATGGAGAAAACAGAAGAGAATTTGCCCCCCCCCGTCGCAACCTCCTTCCGATCTCCCAGCAGATGACACACCTATCCTCTGGTCGACCATCGACCGGTTGTTTCCTCGATGTTTTCCCTCTCCGTAAGAGGAGTGGGCATACAGGAGCATGTTGTCATTGTTGCTGATGGCGAGCCCCCCAATGATTCCTATCGCGGCGGAGGAGAATGTCATCGTCATCGCTTTGGCCTCGCTGACTACAACCGCTTCCCAAGGCTGCTTCCGACCTGTCATGGACACGAGCTCCTTTCTCCATGAGAAGAATCAATGTGTGAGCCGAAGGGGCTCCGGAGAATGAATTACGTGTGACCAAGAGGCATGTTCCTGGATTCGTGAACTCGTTCGGGACGGAGTCTATCGATAGAGACGTCCAAAAAATTATTTGGTCCGTTGAATCTCCATCGGAGACTTGGAGTTCTGATGAGAACCTTTATGCGCGGGCGGGACGAAGGGAACCCCATGCCTCGCATAGGTCCGGAATCACCCTCGCGCGTCCCCGCGTAATCCGGCCGGCACGACGCGTCCTTGATTCCGAGGACGGGATGATTCCTTCGTCATCGACCGTTGCTTCCATCAATGCACTTGAACCGAGAGTTCAAGATTGATCTAATCTCGATTTAGTGCTGTATTTATTCTGCTCATAAGTCGACGATGAATCGACACAAAGTCGACCCATACGACGCGAGACGTCAGAGATATCCTGTCCTGATCGATGGAATTTCAAAAACGCCGCTTTCATATCGCTCGAAATAGCAGGCATTCAGATGTCGTTCCCTGCCCTCCACTCTCCATTCAAAAATAGAATCAAAGATTCCAACCTGCGTCGGTATCGGTTTGGATCGTCCTTTTATACATATGTACCAGGTCCACAATCGCTTTGACGCCGTCTTATCTGACGCAGAATCTGATCTGGGCTCGTTCGGTGATCGTCATCGTCCGTTTCACAGAAGAGCTTGAACTTTTCGCCCATTCCCTACGCGTGATTTATCCGCTCGCCCTATCAATGAATAGAGAAATAGGGGGGGAAAAAACTGAGCCAGCACGGAATGTTCAGTTCACTCGGTATTGAATGCGTGAGAGCCCGACGAGGGTCTGGCGTCCGGCGAGTGGTCCATGGTCACAAGTCCGCGGGTTTCCAAATCTAGGCCAGGCTCGCATAGTGAAAGAGCACAATAGACATCCGCAATTTCCTGAGCTTCGCTCGGTCAACGGGCTTGACGCGTTGTGCAATTCCAATAGCTCGATGAATCTTGCAAGAAGCTTTGATGACAGTCTTTCTGGGTCGTTCTCCGCGGCTGAAATTGCGTCCGGGTGTCCGATCGCAACAATGATTCCCGAACTCATTGGACTTGTGACCATCGACCATCCCCGAACTCGGCATTTGATCGCCGTCGGAGAAGAGAGAAGAGTCGAAGCTTGGGCCAGGATCGCAGATGTGGCTCGGAGTCCGGATTCGGTGGCGTCGCTTGCTCCCTCGTTCCCGGATTCATTCAGGGAAATCGATCCTCCAGCGCTTCTATCGTAGCCTTCAGGAGGGAGAAACTCCGAAAGAATCCGAGAAATCGAAAGAGTGAGCTCTGCGTCATGACGCCGCGCCGCGATGAGGTATTCGTGGAAAACGGAAAATACGTGTCACGAGCTCGGCTCTGCCTAAGGTGGACGCAATGTTGAGGCGGAGGTAAGCTGAGTCGAGCTACGATGTGAACGGAAAATTGCCAATGAGAAACCGTCGCCCGACAGACCTCAACGACTCAACTTCCTGCCCGTAATTGGCTTCCGACCGAAAGCGGCGCTTGTCCTGCAATCCGACCAGAGAGACAAGACATGCCCTGTGGTCGCCCTGCCGGAATATCTGTCGCGTATTTCACTTCCGAGCATTTGATTGAGAGCGAAGCAAATGACCGTTACAGCGACGACCCATACAAGCAATGACAGAACATCTCTGTTAGCAGTAGGTATCTGTTCGGGACTGTCCTGTTGACAGGCGCTGCCGATTGCCCGCGCGCTCGATTAGCCGTCGGGCGAGAAACCGCCTAAACGTTTGCTGCCGGGTAGGTTACTTGCTCGGTAGTTCCGTCGGCCGCCCGCCCGCCCGACTGATTGAGTGGGAGACACTTTTCCGAAATGGGTCACCTAAAAACAATGGGACGACGTCCGAAGTGCCGGCAGCACTGGGTCCACAACAGAAAGACCGACTACTATGCTTGTACTAATTCATGTCGCTTCCATTTCCACCGATCGATATCGCGCACTTGTCCTACATAAATTCGGCTGCATCGGGAAAAATTCCCGCGGGGAACGTCCCGCGAGAGTCCCGGGAAGAAGAGTCTTCGCTCGAACTCGCGGAATCTCGGTATAATGAACGTTATCGTCAGATGTTCATTTCAAGCCTATTATCTTCATGGAATTTCATGATTAATCCTTACGCAAAAGGATTCATCGAAACGTTTTGTGCGTAGCGTGATGGCAATCAGAACCCGGAACGAGTATTCGTGGGGGTCGCGACGAAGACAACGAGGACGGCTCGAAGCGTGAGCGATACTTTTCTGAATTGAGAATGGAAAACTAAAACATGGAGTACTGAGCTTCCGACAGTTCAACGGGGATCCGTCCGGAATAAACAAAAAGTGTGTGACAGTGAGTTTATTTTTCGGCTCGGAGAATTCCTCGGGTTCTCCACTTTGTTTGAGCGTCACAACCCGTATGAAGCATTGAATGTTGAATACCTAATGGAACCTTGTATTTATATGAAGGCCACTCTCAATGGAGAAAAACGAACGAGTCGCTGGACCGCCCGCTTGTTCGCTCGCTCGGAAGCTTGGCAAGTTATTCGGCTGCTCGACATTTAGTTGCAAATGAAATTACGCACAGAATGGTGTAGCCCTTCGGCGGAATGGTGGGCTCTTTCATCGGCGGTGGGTTCGCTCGCGGCAACAAGGTCACTCGGATCTATTGAAACAGTGGGAGTTCTCCTTGCGCAAGAGCAGCAAACTGCTGCGGCGAACTTCTCCACGATGCGTGGGCGATCTGTGGAGATCAAGTTCTCACTCGGAATCCCACCGTCTCGCCTTCGTATCGTTGCATGCATGCATGCCTAGCAGACCATCACCGCCGCGCCGCTAACGCCGAGCACGCGAGAGCTCTATTGCCCCTCGGTGTCGGACATTTATCCGACCCCTGCGCCGAGCCTAAATCTCCGGAGTTCTTGAAGCGTTGCGCTGCTTTTAGATCTCGTGTCGTCCTTCTGCGACGTAGCGAAAAGAGCAAATCTGTTGTTTATGTGCGGGATTTCAGTCGCACCAGGAGCCCTGGGCACTCGACGCTGATATTCGATTCCTCGCTGGAGAATCAGCTGAAAAAGTTGTAATCTGGAAGATTACAAATCCGGCGGGACGAAGTCCCGTGTGTCGGGGCAAATTCGCCTGAACAGAAAGCGAGCGAGGAGCCGACGCGAGCGATAGTCGGCCGAGCCAGCCAGCGAGCGAGGCGGAAGGCTTGTACGGAGAGAGGGGAATAAATCGAGGACAATCCACAAAAAAAGCAGGAACCTAAATCGATATATATACATGGCACCCGTTGTCTCCGAATATGCCATATAGGCGAGGAACAACCGTTTTCGTCTCTTGAGACTTATCCAGCCACTCTCGGGCTGAGTCTTTGCATCTGACTGAGCGAGCGCGGAAGGAACAAAGAGCCTTCTTATCGATCTTCCGTCGGTCCGCTCCGCGAGCTGTGAGAAGTACTCGACGTGTCCGCATCGTACGCGTGGTATGTACATACAGAGCGTCGACTCTGCCCTCAGTCTTTCCGTGGACATGAAAGGGAGAGCGTATCGTAGACTGTATCGCATACAAGTTCGAAAATTATCCAGGCCTTGTCTCATACAAGATCTGTGAACGCAATTCGTGTCACCCCTGACTTGAAAGGGATCTTATGTGCAATATAATAAGATAATATGATAATAAGATCAGTATGAATCAATCAATACTCGCGGAAACGAGATCCCAGTTGGCGGTGATCTGGAGAAAACGCGCGCGTGATTAACATGATGGAATCCCACTCTCCTCCCAGGGGTGGGAGCCCCCTGGGGAGCTTCCGTCGCTCGCCGAGGCGCCGGCCTTCTTGCACAATATATCAACCTGACTGCATGAAAACGAGCACGCGGAGGACAGTTTGCAATGATTGCGCCCGGGCGCATGAAATCTTATCAAGCGCAGTCTGCAAGAAAACGAAGCCAAGCGTGTGACTCGTACCAACTATGATAGCGCGCCGCGCAACTGCCGCTAGAGTCGGTTTTGTTATCGGAGAAAGCATGTCCCAGGCGTTGTCCTTCTTCTTAACACGCTCCGCAAGCGACGACGAGGAAAACAGCCTGCAGTGTCAGGACTGGATGTTGCATCAACAACGAGCCAGACCAGCAGGAGAAATTTGGCAATTCGAGACAAACAATGCAGGATATTGTCCGGGGCTCGATCGATAAGGATGAGTCTGGATGTCACCGAGTGAGCACAGAAACAGCGGGCATTGGATGCGAATAATCACAATGCGATCGAATAACCCTTCTCTTACGATCGACCGCGACGCCGACGTTTTGATGGATCCTGGCCGCAGGGCACGAACCCGGCTGAGCTTCAACCTATTCGAGAATGACAATGATGCAAGGGCCCCATGAGAGGCGAGAACTGGCGTGTTTTCCTGAGGCTGTGAAGTAGACGTTGGGAGCAGACGATGATTTATGGACAGTCTGAATAATTTTTGTGGGTTTTCAGCGCAAACGTGCAATAATGGTCTCGGAAAGCTCGTCTACGAACGGATCGCAGACACGAAGCTGCGTGTCGGTTTCAGCAATCGTCAACGGAGTGAAATGGTGAGTCGATGAACCCGATGATTTCAAAACCCAATAGCTTCTTTCCGTGATGCTCTCTGGACCGAACCGATCTTTCGAGTCGAGCCCAACTCGTTCCAGCGTTCGAGCGCAAGGGCTTAGCGCTCTCCCGCTCCGCGTCAGGTTCTGGTCGATTGATCCCGATTTTCGGAACTGAGGGGGAAAAGTAAATTGAGGTGCACATCATATTTTAAAGCCTTTCGATCCCATCAATATTGCTGACAGCATCGTGGAGTTGATCTCCCTTTTCCCGCAAAGTCTTTGGTCTCGCTCCAGGAAGTCCCTCTTTTTGTGAGGCCGCCGATCTCTTGAATGGATCGGCGTGAAACTTCGAATCCTCTTCTGCATTCACCGATATGATCGGATTTTCGATCTTTCCCCGCAAAGTCTTCCGCAGATTGCCCCGGACTTCACGTCGATGCATCTCCGACTCCGAGACCTCGTGCGTTGGCTGGAAGCACGCGGAGCCTTCGCTAGTGCGGGTTTTCCAGGGATCGTAGGAAAAGCAGTCGGTGTCGAAAACGATGTCGAGTTGCTTCCGTGAATCCTCATCGCAACTCGTGCAACGAATTATCACGAGCGATCGTTTCCCTCGGCGTCCAGTCCCGCAGTCGAGGGCAGAATCCGCTCCACGCCGCGGTGCAAAAGCTACACCCAGGTCGCAGTCAACAAATCCTTCCGGAATTCCCAGCGGATAGCCCGGCGCGAGGGAAACCGAGCTACAGTCCGCGGCCCCTAAGACTCTGCTCCGCAGGAGCTCGCCCCCCCCCCTCGAGCTCGAGCCCGCCGCCGAGCAGACCGGCGCTCTTAGTGCTTCCCTGCCCGAGTGGAATACACGGAGCGAGATTATATTCTGATGAATGGAGTCCGGAACCTACTCGGTTCTCTTTTGTTTCGACAATTCGTTCTGTGTCCAAGTGATTCGATAATCTCCTTCGTATTCTATTGTTTTCGTTGGAAAAACGAGATTACGTAGTCTTTTCTCCGAGAGCTCTCGTGCGATTAGTTGATACTCCATCGCGAGCTACTTCCGTCCGATTGCGAGCGAAGGATGAGGGCGAAGAACTCTATTCAGAATGCTAATGTGATTGTTCCACGTCACGCCATTGCCTCTCGTCTCGTTTCTACATTATCGCCGTCCGTTTCCATCCCCCCGTGGTAACGATGTCATCTCGGCTTAGCTTCTGTTTTAATCGTGAGTCGTATGGGGTCCGTGTCGTGTTTCGTGTTTCCGTCACCTGTGGCTCTCGTTTTTCGCGACCGTACACTCGGTCCGAGGTCCGAGTCCACATTCTCCTTTCGTGGCGATCGGGAATCTTATCAAAACCGCCGGGCTAGATAGAAATGTGGATGTTCCATCAGCTGCGATCCGTCCGATCGATGGAGACGATGGGAGCGTTCATATCCGCATAAGCGCTCCCGCCAGTAATACTCGTACCGAAAATACGCGTGGATCTTTACTTCTTTAATTTCCCTATTTTCCTGCGGGACTCTTCTCTCAGGAGCCGCGGAGATTCCCTCAAGCCATTCTTCTCATTTCGCAGATCACTCGCACAGCGCAGCCCATCAAAGTTCTAGAAGAATGTATACGCAAATGCCAGGAAGACGGAACGTCGGTCGTGACCCAGTGTCTGTCGTTGGACTTCATGCCGGGACGACTGACCTCGGCGACCGCATCCACTCCTCCGGTTTTCGAGGACTCGGTGTGCTATCTCTATTACGACCAATCTCAACCCGACGGCGACGAGTCGCTCGTCGAGCAGAGCAACGCGTGGCATTTCAACGAAGTCTGTCTTTCGTGTACGTCGACGATGAACGAGGCGGGAGTTCTGATCGTTTCAAACTCGATTCTTCTCTCTGAAGGACGAAATTCCTGAAGCTTCCGACGCGACCCCAACGTTTGATTCGTCTCGTTTTTCGCAAATTTCAGCCGGAAAACTCCAGTCGGAATGCCCGGGAAGACTGTACGTGTTCGATCGAACACCAGGGTACAGACTCGAGAGTCCTGGCGACAAAGAAGTGATCGCGACAAATCGAACCGACTGCGAAGACAAATGCTTAAACGAGTTCGCGTTCTCCTGCCGCTCGGCCTCGTACGATAGACAAACGCATCGCTGCCGTCTCAGCACCGAGACCAAGTACATGAATCCGCGGGACTTCCGGCCGGATCGAAACAGCGACTATCTCGAGAATCTCTGTCTCCCGGGTAAGTCAGTCAGTCAGTCACATGGGAATTTAACGCGACGCGTGACGCAGATGAGCTTGGTGCCTCGCGGCCCCGGATCGGCCTAGAATGTCCTGAAGAGGGGATGCTCGGCTGAATTTTCCACGAAATTTCATGGGAAGTCAGGGTCTAAGGAAATCTCCCGGAAAACTTCTCCTTCTGGTCCCATGAAGTCTCCTCTGACAACATTGGAAACTACCCCACGGCAAGGCAGCCATCTCCAGGGAGTTTGAGACTTAGCAGAGGAGTGTTATTATCTCTGAAACGAACTTCTCGTGGTCTGCTTGAAGCTGGAAGAGCTTGAATTGCAATTAAATCAGACGGGAATTTCCATGCTGCGGCAGCGATCGGAAGTCGGCGAGCCTTCCAATGTTTCTAATCTGTTGTCTACGAGCGTGACATCCGACTGCGGCGATGGTGTTTCCGCCGAGGTCAAGTAAAAACATGCCTTCCTACCACTCCACAGCTTCTCAGATGTGTACAACGACGGCCTTGATTCTCGAGAGCGGAAAAGAGTTGGATGGCGCTTTCGAGAGGGAAGTCGTCCCCGTCCGAGATTTGACCGAGTGCTCGAACTATTGCACACGGAGTCTCAGTGAGCGTGGCTACTTCTGTCGGTGAGTGACAATTTTTTTCCGCTCGCTTTGTTTGCTGTAGGGCCGCGCGGTCGGTCGCTCAGTTGGTCGGTCGGTCGGTCGGTCGGTCGGTGGGTCACTCCGCCGGCAGGGCCGGACGGCTGGTGCACCGACGAGCCCGGCGGCCGACCGACCGACCGGCTCGCTGACCTCCCGGATTTCAGATGGAAGACACCGTTTTGTGGCGTTCCGTGTGGAAAGCCATCAGAGTGACCATCGAGTGACCCCAAAGACTGGTCGCTTAGTGGCTGGCTTGAATGGGCTCTCTGACTTACATATAACGGTACTTGCAGGTCGTTCCTATATCAGGACAAGGCGCGTCTGTGCACGTTGTACGACGAGGATCCCCTCGACTTCACTCAAGGCAGGGAGGGTGTCAGCAAACCTCTCAAACCGAGTTCCGGTGACCTGTACCGCGTGCTGTGCCGCGGAAGCGAGAGAGGTCCGTCCATGAACTTTCAGACTACTCGTTGCGCTCGTTTTTTTTCTTCTTCTCTCCCGAGATTTCCCACGGAGCTTGTAGCGAGCACGGTCAGCACGTGCTCTGGAGCTTAACATTAGACAAGCGTCCTCTCTGTCGAACGATCGATTCCCGCACTCGAGCATGCTCTAACCTGACGCAAGTCTAAAATGTCAACTGTATTCAGCTGGGTTTACAGATCGTAGCCACAGCAGCGCGCACGGTTCCTCGCATCAGTTCCACACGTGGAGCCCCCCGTACGGCAACACCCTGCCCCCATATCCCCATCCATACCCCCCCGGCCCACCGGTGTCCCATAATTTCGTCGATGGACCCTATCCCCAGAGAAGAGACGGTTTCGGCGGCTCAGGTTGGAGCCCTACACACCCACCGTACGGGGGATACGGCGGCTACGGCGGAGGATACGGAGGCTACGGTGGAGGAGGAGGAGGAGGAGGAGGAGACTATGGCGGTGGGGGTGGAGGTAGAGGCGGCGGAGGCGGCTACGGATCTTCCGGATACGATCGCTGGAGTCCGGGCTATCGCTCATCGAACTACCCCCCGTGGGGAGGCGGCTGGAGCGATCCGTACGGGACGAGATTCGGGTTCGTATGCGTAGAGGACACGGAATATCTGACGGGATCTTGAGTAATTACGCTGGATTAGCAGAGTGCCTCCGTGTTGATAGCCAAGAGATTGATGACGACACGCTTTCCGCCTCCAACAGGATCCACGGCCGAACTGCTTCCCCGGCGAGTAGTTTACCCGTGCCTGCCGGCTCGACCGGTTATGGGGGCAGCGGAAGCTACCTCGGAGGTGGAAGCAGTCCGGGATGGACATCGCCCTACAACACCCCCTACGGACCCCATCAGCCTTTCCCGCCCTCAGGTGAATAACTCGAGAGAATTCGCGCATTTTTCCCCTATGTCGTAGCCGAGACGTCGACGCCAGGCCTGCGTGGTCGCTCCGTCACTCCCACTACTGTACAATACCGATCCGACTCGGTTGGGGGCGGGACAGCGATTCGTAATTCCGTCGTTAGCGACCTGCGCGTCAGGTCCAACGGCTGGCCCGCTGGGTAATGGCGATACTCAGCTAATTCGTCATTTTAGATTTTCTCTCGCGAGATTTTGGCTAATTGATACGCTCGCCGATGAGTAGTATCGAGCTTGATTAGCTGCTCCGATCGCGGCACGGGTACGTTGCCGCGCCGGATGATTCGATGTCGTTATTAGTAACTTGTTTAGCTGATGTGAGTGAGCTCGACGGAACCCTCACAGTTTCGTGAATCGTCGGACTCTCCCGTCCGAGGAGCCGCTGAGAATAGGCGCTTTTCCGTCGACTGAGAACACTCCTCCGATTGAGTCGAGTACCCCCTTCTGATATTCATGGCTCCGAACCGGGCTCTCAGTCAATCGGAGCGAACATTTTACGAGATCCATCTGTTCGGCAAGTGGGGATTTGACGGATTTGACGCTCGGTTTGTTGGCAATCGGAGGATGCGAGCGAGCGACCGACCGACCGGGCATCGGAAGCTGTGCTGTTGCAAACGGGAATTCATACGAAACTTGTTTCAGATCCTCTGGGTCCAATTCCGCCCGGATACGGGGACCGTTGCCGACCTTCAACGAATGCTTTCGGTCGGGTTGGTTACGGCTCTCGTCTGAGAAGTTTCTACATCCGGAGAGCTCTCCGCGTCGAGCGAGTTGAAGATTGCGAGGCCGCCTGCGCCGAGGCCCGAGACATCCAATGCAGATCTTTCAACTTCCGGTACGATGTCGAGACAACGAGGACTCTGACCGATCGGTCCGAAACTTCTGTTCGGTCGACTCCGAACGCATGATATTTTCATTCTCGGGACCCGGGATCGTATCATGTGATCTTTCCGCGAAATTACCGCAATCCGATACTCACGAGACAAGGTTCCCTCAAGAGATGCGTTTTTCGCTTTCAGCGTCGGCGCGTTGAGTGCGCCCGGGGCCACAACGAGCTCAGGGTCCTCCCCACCTGCAACGCTCCGATCGCAGCTCTCAAGCAGCTACGGCTCACCCGAGAACTGTGAGCTGTCCGATTTCGACTCGAGGCAGCTGCAGCTTTCAAACCCCTCACATTTCGACCAGACTTCCAGTTACGACTACTTCGAACGAAATGAGCTCGCCGGCGGCGGCGGTGGTGGCGATTGCCTCGACGGTAAGCTCCACGTAATCGTCGGCTCACCAGATTCTAACCGAGGCTGACCGCGCACTCACGATTTCCATGTGGCCTCGTGGTCAGACGCCCGCTTGCTCGATGATGACGCCTCGTTCATCAACCGAACTCGAATTAATAATGATTAATGATCATAATAATAATTGTCCTATCTAGATTTATTAACGTCCTTGAATTTCCTTCTAATTCTCGAACCTTGAATTATCCGTTGCTCCGATAACTCTGGCATTACGTTCCCTACCCGAAGCTTCATTGAAAGATATTCGTGAATTTTCCGATATTCATCTCGTCCACGAATGAATATTGAAGAAAATAAAATAATTATTTCACAGTGAGCCAGTCGTGCACGCCGGACGGTATGGAGTTCACCCTGAGAACGGTCGACGGTTTCTACGGCCGAATTTATACGTATGGCTTCTACGAGTCCTGCTTCTACGATGGCAACGGTGGCAGTGTGAATGTGTTGCGCATTTCTCGCGCAAACGGGTTCCCCCGTTGCGGAACACAGCAATACGGAGACGTGATGACGAACATCGTCGTAGTCCAATTCAACGATTACGTGCAAACAGCTCGCGACAAAAAATACAATCTCACATGTCTCCTGTCCGGTTTCAAAGAAGCCGTTGTTACGTCAAACTACCTGGACACACGTATAGAGGGGTGAGTCTGTTGGGTGCGATTAGGTAGCGACGGACGTTCTTTACGACTCCTCCGGAATATGGTGGCGGCCGGGACGGCTACGGGTTGGAAGCGACTCGGGGCAAAACTCAACGGACTCTTCCCTCCGGGGTTGCACGGGGCGGCTTTTGCTTATTTATAACTACCTACTACAAGCGGTTACTGCGACGCATGAGGGCACGGCTCCTGTGTTCCTACCTACCTACCACATAAAGAACGTTCCGTGCGGTATTATCCATCCACTAGAACAGACTAACTCTCGTTTCATAGACCTTCTTCAAAATCTTTCAGAAGGTACCCTACGCAGATCGAGCACTTGAAAACTCAGAACATCCTGACGTCGAACGTACAGCTGAGAATACTGTATAGAGGTGCCCCCACTACTACAATTGCTGTTGGTGATTTCCTTACATTCCGTCTAGAAGCAAGAGACAAATGTGAGTTCGAAGGGCGACGACCTACGTGGGGACATCATGTTGTTTTTCCTCCAGCTCTTCTTCGTTCCCTTATCCATTCATTTTCCCTATCGCTACCGTTTTCTCTCCCGCTCCTCGGGAGCTGCGAGCCCCGCCTCACTGTTAGCCTAATGGAACATGGTAGTCATCAGACCCAGGACGACGACGGTTTCCCATTGGGACAAGTGGGCGGCGACGCGTTCGACATCTAATGCAAATACGATTTCTCTCGGTCTATCTTTTCCCTCCGTTTGCGTCGACTTTATCCCGATCTGTCCGGGTAGGCAAGAAGGTCCTCCTGAAAACATTCCGAGGCTGAAGTTTTTATGTTCAATCGTCTCTGAGATACGGAAGTGCGGGAGAGGATTTTTCGACCGGAGCGGAGAGGATCGATGATCGGGACTCTGGAGGCGAGATGAATAATCTCGGGCTTAAAACCTCATTCCACCCTTCCAGACCAATTCGATTTCTACAACGATTTCTTCGCGACCGACGTGATTGCGAAAGATCCATATTCGGGAAGGCCATTCCTCCTGATTGACTCCAGAGGGTAAGTTCCCGCCGCTGCGCTCCTTCTGGTCTCTAGATACAAGCTCCATCGAGAGGATCCTGATCTCGTGGTCTCTGATATCCCGCAGATGTCCTGTGGACTTGGGAGTCTTCCCGGAACTGCACAAGACACCCGATGGCGCACTGGAAGCCGAATTCCAAGCCTTCAAACTCCCGGATTCGAACCTCCTCGTGTTCCAAGCCACCGTGAGAACTTGCCGAGGACCATGCGAGCCGGTGATTTGCACGAACCGCGGCCGTCCGGGTACATTCCCCTCATGGGGCAGGAGACGGCGACGTGACGTCAACGAAACTGTTGAAGGTAAACGCAGAATAGGAATCGGCTAGATTCGGCCTGGGGACGAAATTCATTCCGGAGGCGTGTTAGACTGTGTGACCAGAGAGGTCGCACAAGAAGAAGCGGGTGATCGATCAAAGAGGGAAAAGAATATTCCTATAAGAAAAGCCTAAAATCCCTGGGTCGGCAGATGCCAACGCCACTCATCCCGAAGCCGCGCCTCTGACCCAAACCGAACCGATGAATTTGACAACCACCGACGCTCCGCCACAAGACGAGATGACGCCTCCACCGACAGAGGCTCAGGAGGTTCACGAACTTCTAACCGTCTACCTGTCGAGGTCTGACATACCGAGCAAGAACGTGCAGAAGGAACATCCCGTAGCAGGTGGGTCGAGCCGAATTTCACGTATTCAGTCTCCTCGATCGCAGGCTCCCCTGTTTATCTCCTAGACAGATCCTCTGATTCCGACCGCTTCTGAACACTGTCCTCGTCGAATTTTCAGCCGCGATGCAGAAGAGACCGACCGTTTGCGTCGCTCAGGCCGGCTATTACGCCATCATGACGTTGCTGCTCGCCCTCGTGTTCACCCTCGTGGGCGTTATATTCGGGGCGGCCCTCATTATAAAACGGGTGCGAATGCAAGCGAAATTCTCTGGAGTCACTGGCGTGTCTTCTCCGTTCTTCGTCGGCGGTGAAGACGGTCAGAGCAGCAAGCAGTATCACCTGACAGCTGCTCCTCCAAAGCATCGAGTTCATCCGAACGCGGCGAGGGTTGTTGATGATATGACAGAGCCCATCTACACGGATCCTTCGCTTTTCGAGGTGTCACGCTCTCTAACGAATCTCACAGAGCAGGGTTCCAGCAAGTAAACTCCACCACTGTTTGTACTCGTTCCATGTGTTCCATCGTGTCCGTCTTATTTTCGGTCCATCATCTCATTCGCGAAAACGCGCTGAATTTCCCCATCCCGCCACGAACTGTCCGTTCGACCTGTCTGTGCCTCGTTGGATTGAAATGTGATTTGTTCATGAGTTGAGTCCTGCTCCAGCCGAGGCCATGATGCAAAGCGAGCACTCATTCCCTATGCATCGTTTGACCCATGAGAATTCGCACGTTCGCTTATTGTCGGTCCATCCTCTAGATAGCTTCCCTGCCGGGGTTCGCTCTCGCAGACGTGTCTGTTCCGTTTCCCCCGCACGCTGACGTCCCTCATCGGTGTTTACATTCCCTTCCGAAACATTGACGCTCCTCTCTAAATATAAACATCTAATATTTCATCTACCCCGGGAGCTTCAAAATCTCCTCTCGAGATGCTCCATCGATCTGTCCTTACTCTCCGCGGCCCCGCCCGAATTTCTTAATGTGCTCATTGCTCCCGTGGAACCATAGGCGAAGAGAGGAATTCCTTCGCTGGTCGATACGGGGAGAATGAAGTATTGCGGTGTTTCCTCTAACCATCGTGAAGAATGGATGAATCACCTATACTCAAAAGTCATTGCGCTGTAGGCCGGACACATCATCTGCTTCATCGAATATGAGTTCGAGGAATGGGACCATTCAAGTGTCACCAATCCTCGGGAGATTCAACGAAACGGATCGAAGGAGAGAACAGCCAGTGATAGTATTGATAAACACGACAAAAGTAGCATTCTACAGTCACAGAGAACATTTTACCGTAGGTAGCATCAAATAGACTGAGGAGAGATTACCGCTTGACTCTTAGAGTATAGCTCCTAGGTAAGGACTTATTCCGTATTCCGCGCTCCCTATACGTCCCAGTAATTTCGTAGCCTGAATAACCCGGTCCCAGATTCTAAGATGAAGTTCCCAGAGTCATCGTGGAGTGAGAATTATGCTCCATACGAGCGTGGATCCCCGAATAATTATTTTTGAAAATAAATTTCAAATTCTAGGTTCTTTCTTTTTTCTGAACCTTGCTCATCGGTTTCACGAAACGATATGTGAGCGATCAACCATTTGAAGTTATCGCGCCGGTAGTTCCGGGGACGTTATATCAGAGATGGAGGACTCCTCATTGCTTCGATGACGTTTTCTCATCCTCGAATTAATGCAGAGCATTGCACCTGCGTTTCTCAGAGGATAATAACCCAACTGGTGGTATGGTGAACTTCTTGAGAAGATTCCAACTCGTGTCGCAGGGCTTCGGCATGTGAAGAACCACTGACCAGCGAGCTCATCATATGGCTCCATGAGACGTTTCTACGAATAGCAGCCTACATATTCTCATTATAGAATTCTCCTTCATGCTTCGAAGCTCACTATCCACCGAGACCATTCCGTCGCCAAAACCCGCCCTGGAAAACAGACACAATATTCCCAATGAGTCTTCTGCCTGGAACCGTGGGTTGAGCTCAGAATCTGGCTCTGCAATCCAACTGATCTCAAGAGACACCTGAAAGGACCGAAGCCTAGGAAAAACAGTGGAATATCCCGGGACTGCTTCGATCCAGCCCGAGGGAATGATTGGAATCGGAGTTAATGATGTGCTTCTTGCGGTCCCGGCCCAGATACCTCCTCCCTCCCTCCGTCCCTGACTGGTGTCTTGTCATCTCGAGGAAAACCTCCCACGGACAAAAGCGGGCTCCTTTCATTGATGGAGCGGTGGCCGAGTTTTTCTGACTGAGAGCGTTCATACGTGCAATAATACCCGGCAGAATGCGGTCGATATTCCGGAGACATCTCGATTCCGGGGAGGCGACGCCTTCGTTCAAAGACGTCACCAGGAACGATAGCAACGATCGACTCATAATCACACTCATTGTTTGTGGACACGCGACGGATGATCTAAATCTGGCAGATGGCATTCAGAAACATGGTCGTTTATCCTTGCCGAGCTCAATGTGGATCGTTGCTTCCCAAAGTGAAGGTAGAGGACAGAAGTCCACTGACTGAGAGATGCGTGGTAACACGAGGGAATATAAGGAGGACAGAAACTTCCGTCCTGACTTCGGATTCATCAGTCGACCAACAAATCATACATTTCCAATTGTGAGGCACTTCTAGGGGCATGTCCCAGGCTTGATGTCTACAGTGTACCGGGCTTGAGCATCTACTTCCTGCTTATAAAAGAAAATTAATGCGGAAACGCAGAAATGCGGTGGAGTCGTCGGAGAAATTGTCGATATTCTCATAGAAAAAGAGCGACGTAACGGCTTCATTTTTTGTCATTGCGGAGTTAGCTTCCTTAATTCCGTAATGACTCTACGAAATCGAGGTACCGAAATCAATTGCGATGGCCGAACACTACCCACGATTGCCCCGAATACTGAAGGATATCACTTCGACTCGGGAGGCGCTCGGTCAGGATCTGCTTGTGCGTCACCTTAATTATGTTTCCGTCATTCACATCGGGAACGCGTCCCTCCGACAGGCATAAAGCTCTTCTCGATCATTGATGGTTCCGCTGGCGGGGGAACTCATTCCGAACCTCAAGGCTTAAGGACTTTGAGCTCAGTCTGAGGAATTCTGTGGGCAGAGGAGGCTCCAAAGTAGCGTCATCCTGACGAGGATCCTGTACGGTCTGAGCACTGATTCCGGAATGAAAACATTGGGAAAAACATGTCTGTGATTTGAAAAACCCCAGTTGCATCTTTTCTCCGGCTGGAAGAGTAGTTCATGACGGAGAAACGGAAAATACAAAGGCGATTCGATTCCTGTTAGAAGTCCTGCGAAGATGCGGTTCGACTCTGACTTACTAGTGAATACAGTCGATATCCTCGCATGAGATTCTCTCCGTTCAGAAAGAATCTTCGTGTGGAAGGGGCGGAACGTCGTCGAGTCGAACCGCTCCGTTGACGACATTGTGGTACAGACTCGCTCCCACTGACACAACATCCACGCAGCGTGTCGACTCCTCGATTCCTCTAGGAACTCCGGACGATAATCGAATTCTCCGTTGCATCTCTTCTGGAATTGGAAACTTTGTTGAACGATTCAGTTCGTGCTGTGATTGGAATCGTCGGGGACGAAACGTATATATTACGACGAATGACCGCTAACAAGGATCCACCGACTTCCAAGCATCGGAAAGTTTCGAGAACATGTCTTCCCTTGTTCTTTTCGCCGGAATCCCAGCAGCGGCGGAAACGACGAGCTGATTTTTATTCGAGATCTACGACGACACCGACAAGCCACTGATTCCATCGGCTGATCGATTGATTGACCGACGCTCTGAATGAATAAGTTGTCGTTGCCTTCGAGAGTGGGACCGCTGTCGTATGGTAAGTCGAAATCTCTATCCCGCCGTTTGGATAGTACGCTCGGTCTCCTCCGCATTCACAAGTAGTACGACTACCGACTCCATTCTACGCCGCCGCAGCAGTTCTTCGCCGTGTCCGCGTCTCCGACGCTTCTCCTTCCCCGACGGAGCCCCAAAGATCTCTCGACGGGTTCTACCCCGATTCCCCGACTTTCTTGGCCGCTGATTCGACGGAGTCTTGAAGCGTCAAGAGATATCATCACCTCTGGAGACATCCTCGACCAACAGGATTTAATTTATTCCTCATCTCAATGTTTTCTGAATTATTCGAATTGTCATGTTATACTACTGTCACAAAGTCCCCGCTTCCGTATCTCATGCTTGCGAGAACAAATTGAAACCCGCTCGGTGGACGTATTCGATGAGCGAGATCTCATTGTATTCGAGCTTGTTTTCCGTTTGACGCTGTCATCTCCTGATGTTCCTCCTGACAGCTGATTCTCTTTCCCGTTCGGTCGTCGGTAGCTCCCTCTAGAGAGGGTGTGACGTTCTCGTGAGACGCGCGATGTAAAGCAAGAGAGATCGATCAGCGCGCATCCTCATTTGTGCGACGGTTATGATATCTCTAGAGGCCGCTCGAAGACTCCGCCAAATCAGCGGCTAAGAAAGTCGGGAAATCGAGAATCGAGAATCGAGAATCGAGAATCGGGGAATCGAGAATCGAGAATCGAGAATCGGGGAATCGAGAATCGAGAATCGGGGAATCGAGAATCGAGAATCGGGGAATCGAGAATCGAGAATCGGGGAATCGAGAATCGGGGAATCGAGAATCGAGAATCGGGGAATCGAGAATCGGGGAATCGGGGAATCGAGAATCGGGGAATCGAGAATCGGGGAATCGAGAATCGGGGAATCGAGAATCGGGGAATCGAGAATCGGGGGAATCGAGAATCGGGGAATCGAGAATCGGGGAATCGAGAATCGGGGAATCGAGAATCGGGGAATCGAGAATCGGGGAATCGAGAATCGGGGAATCGAGAATCGGGGAATCGAGAATCGGGGAATCGAGAATCGGGAATCGAGAATCGGGAATCGAGAATCGGGAATCGAGAATCGGGAATCGAGAATCGGGAATCGAGAATCGGGAATCGAGAATCGGGAATCGAGAATCGGGAATCGAGAATCGGGAATCGAGAATCGGGAATCGAGAATCGGGAATCGAGAATCGGGAATCGAGAATCGGGAAT